AGAGAGATCAAGCAAGGGAGGGGCAGAGAGAGAGGGAGAGGGAAATCAGAGCTTGATGCGGGGCTCGAACTTACAAATCATGAGATCATGACCTGAGCTGAAACCAAGAGTCGGACACTTAACTGACTGAACCACCCAAGAGCCCTTTAACTTTTGTTTTCTATTTCGTTTATTTCTACTTTCATTTCTATATTATTCTAGTTTACTTTATTTGGCTTTCTCTTTGTAAATAATTGTATTTTGTGGCTTGAAGAAAACCTCTACATATTTTACATTTTAAATATCTATTTTGTTTTATGTACTGGAAATTTATATATGATAACTTTTAGAACACATGCACTTTAAGTGTTAATTTTCCTCAGATCTATCTTCAGTCACATCCATTAGGTTTAGACATTAAATATTCTTGGTAGTATTGTTTATTTTTTATAACAACATTCATTCATTTCCAAAAGTCTGTAAGTTCATTTACTAATTTCTTTTTTTTTTTTAATGTTTATTTAATTTTGAGAAAGTGCGAGACAGAGCATGAGTAGGGGAGGGGCAGAGAGAGAGGGAGACACAGAATCTGAAGCAGGCTCCAGGCTCTGAGTAGTCAGAACAGGAGAACACATTAATGCTCTAATATAAACAAATATATTATAAAAGTATTTTACAATGTAAAAGAGGGGATGCGAAGGGAAGTGGGAAAGAAATGGAGCTCAAAACTGAGAACGGGGGATGTGTGTTTTCTAGTGTATGTCGCTTTTGATGCAAGGAAAAGAGTGAAATGGTAGGAGAAAAGCAGAGAAAATAATGGTTATGTAGGAGATAGATCTATTTTGACTCAACAGGATAACACGGATAAGTGCAAACATGTAATCAGAGGCTACTGCGTAGTTAACCATGATCCATGGTGAGGTGGAAAGCACACAAGATTTCAAGTAAGATCATTAAGGATTCAAATATCCATCCACCCTCTGCCCATTTTGAAATTTGGCAAGTTACAAGATTTCAGTGACCTTTCATTTGCTTTGCAGTAAATGCAAAAACTGATGCTTTATGAGAACCAAGACAGCATTCCTAGCCTGATGCCTAGAACATGAGAGGAGCTAAGGCAATATTACGAATACACAGTGTTTTGTTGAGAATTCCTAACTCACTGGAGTATAAGCATAACTTTTAATTTTCTTCCTGGAAATGATCCTCACTCGGTATTGCTCAAAAACTGAAATTGCTTCTTTAATCGTGCTGCTTACAGACATAGCACCTCGTCCCTTCACATATTACTGATTGACTTTTTTGAACTGATGATCACTTCCAGGTCAGTGAAATCTTCATCTTCTTCCTTTTGTTGGTTCACGACCGTTTTCATTTTCCTTCTACCTTGGCTTTCATGGTTCATCATTTTAAAGTCCCTTGTGCATGTACCCTTAAACTCTCTTGTACCTCCAAATTTTCTCTATATCCATCTGACAAAGCTGCAAACTCAACATGAGAACCAACAATACCTTTTCTTTGGCCTGAATACAAGTGACTACGAACTGCTGGTATAATACCTACATTAGGGAGGACGGGAATCCCTCCAGATTTATTTTTAGCAGCCTCAAATGGGGCAGTCAAATTCCCCAAGAAATCTATCACTTTCCCTACTGGTCTTGACAGTCCATCCTCTACAACAAATATTTCACTCATTCCGTCTTGTCTTCAAACTACCAGCTCCTACTGATTACCCATCATTGTTAACATTTGACTTCACCTCCAAAGTCAATGAGATAGGAAGGAAGGAAGGAAGGAAGGAAGGAAGGAAGGAAGGACCTCTCAGACAGGAGCTACTTCATCTTCCTGTCTTCAAACCTAATGTCCCCCTCCATGTATACACAATCAATGTCCTCCTTGCCTCCTGATAAAAGAGAGGAATGGGATGTCTCTTCCACCTAAGGACAATCACTCAAAGTGAGATGTGAAGACCCTCTGGCCCCTCTCTCTTCCTTGGAACATTCTTTTCCCTCAGATTCTCTGACACCACAATTATCCTTTCCCTCCTTTTTGTATTTCTCTTTTTCAAACTCTTTTTAGCCTCACGGTTGGCCTACTACATTTTGGAGGGCCTAGATTTTCTTCTGCCACGTTGAACTCTATTACAAGGTAATTTCATAATCCATCAAATGACAAAGCCATGCAACTTTTCTAAATATTTTAAGTGTCAGCTTTGTCCTACCTCTACTGCTACCACCTGTTTCAGTTGACCTACTAAAATGGCTACCTGAGTGATTCCTAATGACCTCTGTGGATGCTTTCTATCAGTTTCCACACTGCAAGTTAATGTGCTGTTTTGAAAACTCAAATTTTCTGATGTCATTTGAATGCTTAAAACTTTGCCTTGGGTTCATGTGCCTGAACTGTTAATTATCCCCCAGAACTCATCCATTAGTAATAGAACCCTCTCCAACTTACAGTGGAGATTCAACAGGGGACAAGGCTGCTCAGCTAGTGGCTCTATTTTCTAGCCTCTTTGTAGCCACATGTGGCTAATGTTGTATGAGTAAAAGTGATGTGAGGGACCTCTGGCTCCTGACAGGATGCTTTATGCCCTCTTCTTTACCTCCTTTGCCTCCTCCCCCAGGGGGGCTCCTTGGACTCAGACATGGAGGCCACTTATAAAGGATGGTAGAGCTGTTCCACCACTTTTCATTGCCATCCTGCTCTGTGTTCCAGGAAAGGAAAAGACAGTGAGACAGAAACACACACACACACACACACACACACACACACAC